TCATGTAATTAGAATCCTTGAAGGATTCTGGACAGAAAAATATTTGAAGAAATTATATCCTTCTCCCCACCAATTTCAAATTTTCCAAATTTGATGAAAGCTATAAACCTACAGATCCAAGATGCCCAGTGAACTTTGATCATAAGAAACAAAAAAAACTACACTAAGTCACATAATAATCAATTCACACTTGGTCTTAGCCAAAAGGCTGAGAAGCAATACAATCAAATTACTAAAAACATCCACATAGAGAAACCTTAAAAGCAACCAGCAAAGAAGAAAAAGCATGTTATGAACAGGGAAAGAAAGATAAGGATGACAGCCGATTTCTTGTCAGAAGCAATTTAAGAGGGAAGACAATTGAAGCAACATCTTTAAACGAATGAACGAACAAAACTGTAACCTGGAAATCTAGACTCAGCAAACATCATTTTCAAAGACAAAATGAAGACTTTCAGACATATGACAGCTGAAAGAATTCACCACCAGCAGGCCTACACTGCAAGAAATGTGAAAGGAAGTCCCTTAGGCAGAAGGAAGAAGAACCAAGGTAGAAATACGGATCTGCACAAGAAGATGAGTACCCCAACAGTAACTACACGGGCCAAGTGTGTTTTTTTCAATCTTACTCAGATATCTGTAAAAGGTAATTGATGTTTTAAATGAAAATAATAACAGTGTAATGTGGACTTCATAAGAAATGTAAAAGTAAAATGTATGACCACAATAATACAAAGGTTGGGAGGGGAGAAATAGAAGGTTCTCATACTATATGTGAAGGAGTACAGTATTATGTGAAAGTAGACTATAAGTTAAATCCTAAAGCAATTACAGGGAGCTTTGGTAGCATAGTGCCTAAGGCACTTGACTGCTAACCAGCAGGCTGGCGGTTCAAACCCACCAGCCACTCCTCGGAAGGAAGAGGGGCAATCTACTTCTGTAGTGATACCGCCTCAGAAACCCAAGGAGGGGTCGCTGTGAGTTGCAGTCGACTCAAGGGTAGTGAGCTTGCAGCTTAGCACCTTTGTGGGAGTGGAACCGTGGAAATAAGGTGTATGGAACCTTAACGTGGGGATTGGTCAGTCTTGCCATCTGCTAGGTTTACAATGAACCATCCCAGAGGTGGAAAGGTGAACATCGCTACCATCAAGAGAGAACCAGTAGTGGAGCACCTCCTTGGACCTGCGATCCCTGTGCTGAGACGGCAGAGAGATGGCAGCAGCAGACAGGAGACCGGCACGAGACAGAGTGGCAGACTTCTGGGCCCACGGACTGAGCAAGCTGTGTCTCCAGTTAGGACACCTTCCTGGGCACCTCGTCAGCAAAGCTAAAAGAGCTTTGTAACACTGGCCTGAGCCGGGCAGAGGCCTAGGCCGAAGAGAAGTGTGCCAGTGGCACAGCTGAGAAGAAGCTGTTCTGATCAAAGAACTGTGTCCTGAGTCGTTTCTGATCCTAAATTGTAATCTGTCACTTCCCTAGTAAACCCCGTAATTGTGAGTATTGTCTGTGAATTCTGTGTGGTCATTGTAATGACTTTTTGAACCCAGCAGAGAAGTAGAGAGTGCTGTGGGAGGGACAGTTGGTGTCAGGATTGGTAGAAGGTTGGAGGGTGGCGGCCTGTCTGACTTCTGCCTCACAGGACTCAGCCTTGGGTCGTTGGTGTTCATCTTGATTCTCCCAGTTGTGAGGGTGGAGGAGGTCAGATGAAGATGCCACCTGCACGCTCTTTTTGCAGTGTGTAGTTTAGTTTATATGACACTCTAGAAAAGGCAAAGCTCTAGGGAAAGAAACCCATGAGTGGTTGTTGGAGGCCGAGGTTGGGGAAGGAGGCACAGGCAACGTTCTGGGTGATGGAGCTCCTTCCCTGTTTAATTGTGGTGCTCACATGACTGTATTTGCTTATCAAACTCACAAACTACGTTAAAAGCAGTGAGTTTACTGTGTATAAATAAATTATACCAGAATAGCTGAAGTAAAAAAAAACAACCACCCCAAACCTTTGCAATATGATGTTTGGGATATTTGGAATTTACTTCAAAATAATACAAGAGGCAGGGAAAGTAGATGAGCTATGTATTAAACAAGATTGGTCACAGTTGATAAGTGTTGAAACTAGATGTTAGATATTAGTCTCTCCACTTATGAATATATCTAAAAATTTCCATAATAAGAAAAAAAAAAGAAAAGAAATAATAAGCAGTTCACATTAGATTTATGGTCCTACTAAGAATATAAGTTCCATGAGGGTGGGAGGCTTTTTTTTTTTTAATGACAATATCTAGCCATCCTTGCTTGATTTCATATATATATATATATGTATGTTGTTGTTGTTATTCGTCATCGAGTCAACCCCAACTCATAGCGACCCCTCCTTGGGTTTCCAAGGCAGTATCACTATGGAAGTAGGATTGCCCAACCTTCCTTCCAAGGAGTGGCTGGTGGGTTTGAACCTTGAACCTCCAGCCTTCTGGTTAGCAGTCAAGTGCCTTAGCCACTATGGTACCAGAGCTCTCTCTCTCTCTCTCTCTCTCTATATATATATTTAAATTTTATTGTGATTTGGGTGAAATTTACAGAGCAAATTCATCTTCCATACAGCAGTTCACATTCCCTTTGTCTCATGACATTGACTGCAGTTTCCCACAATGCAACAGCTCTCTTCCCACTTCCTCCCCATAGCTACCTCTTCCCTGTGTCCCTCCCTCCCATGCATTTCTGCCCCCCCCCCAGCTGTCTCCCTGTGCATACACAGCCCTTCTGTTCTCCCATGATTGATCTCGCCAAGGAGTGTATCTACCTAATGTAAATATTCAGCTCATCTGCGTGTCTTTTGTTTGGCTGGAAGCCACAGGATTGGTTCAATTCCAGACCTGAAGGGCAGCTAGGGGCCATGGTCTCAGTGGTTCCACCAGGCCCTATCACACCAGCAAACCTGGTCCCTTTTTTTTTTTTCAATGATTTTTGGTTGTGTTCCACATTGCTCTCCCACTCCATCCGGGCTCTCCTCTGTAGATCCCACGGTAGGAGTTTTTGTCTTTTTTTGGAGGGGTTCTTACTTTGCTCGTTGCTGTGTCTCCAGTGTCTGGAACAATGCCTGCCATATTAGCGAGTGCTCAATAGATATTTTGTAATAGATGAATGAATGATGGAGTCCTTGCCAGTTGGTGACCCTGGAAACTACGTACCTGAAGACCAGAGGCAGCCTTCGCCCACCTGAGTGTTCCTCACAGGCCTGGCTCCCAGGATCTGGCAGCCGATTAGAAAGCAGCAAAGGAGTTCTCCGTTTGATTGTAGATAATTTTAAAACTACCTTCCTTCCATTCATTCAGTAAGTATTTTTTGAGGGCTTATTAGGTGCCAAAAGGAGCTCTGGTGGCATAGTGCCTAAGGTACTTGACTGCTAACCAGGAGGTTGGTGGTTCAAACCCACCAGCCACTCCTCAGAAGGAATCTACTTTCATAGTGACACTGCCTTGGAATCCCAAGGAGGGATCACTATGAGTCGGATCTGACTCGACAGCAGTGAGGTCTTTTTTTTGGTTTATTAGGTGCCAAAGGAGCCCTATTGATGCAATGTGGTTAAAGCATTTGGCTGTTAACCAAAAGGTTGGCAGTTTGAATCCACCAGCCAGTCTGCAGGAGGAAAATGGTGGCAAATACACTTCCACAAAGATTTCTAGTCTTGGAAACCCCATGGGGCAGTTCTACCGTATCCTGTGGGGACACTATGAGTCAGAATTGACTCCAGGGCAGGGGGTTACTGTGTGCCACGGAGTCCCTGGTGCAAGCGATAATGTGCTGGCTGGCCACCCAAAGGTTGGAGCGTGGAGCCCACCTCGGAAGAAAGACCTGGTGATGTACTTCTGAAAAATCATCCTTTGCTAAGCGTGTGGAGCACAGCTCTCCTCCGACACACGTGAGGTGAGGTTGCCAAGAGGCCATGTGTTGGGGTTTACTTGATGGCAATTTTTTTTTTCCATTATGTGCCAAGTGCTGGGGGATCCAATGAAGAGTAAGACAGAGACAATGCCCTTGAGATCTCATAGAGGTTATTTTCCAGTGGAAGGAAACGGGCAATGAGCATGCAAACAATTTGACGTAATGGTAATTGCTGTGAGGGAAATTAAGTGGGCGTTACGTCACAGCGACTGGGAGAGACATTTGAACTGAAAAATGAGAAAAAGCAGCCATAGAAGATTTAAGGGGAAGAGTGTTCCATGCGAAGGCTGGAAAGAGGTAACAGGGGCTGGAGGGTACTGCGCGCGCAGGCCGAGCCGAGCCGGGAGAAGTGAGTGAGATGCTTGGCAGGACCACTTCGTGTGGAGCTTTGCAGGGGAGGGGATTGGATGCAATTAGTTTTGAAGCGGGTTGTCCTTTTTGAGTGACAGAAACAGCTGTCAACAGAGTCACCCAGAGTCTTAGAGGGCAGGAATCTAGGATATATTGATTGCAGTAAATAATAATGACACAATGAAATGACAGGGCTGTCTCTGCCCTTCCTTTCCTGCCTGGAGACCTTGCCGGATGGAAGATCAATGTCAGTTCTAGCATTCCGGGGCCTTGACTTTGCCTCGAGTCAGAGAAGGAGTAGGTGAGCTTTAACACCTCACAAATGCCCTCATCACCCCCGATGCACACAATGTAAGTAAAATCAGCTGTGCAAATGCAGTTTTCAGACATGTCTCCCCGCTCTTCTTGGAAAAGGGAGATTCTTCTGGAAGCTCAGAGGCACTTCCAGCATTACAGATAGGACCCTACCCGGCCCTACAGAGCCACACGGGCCCGGGGTCAGAAGCAAGGCGCGCGGGGGCGGAGCCGGAGAGGTGCGTGCGCATGCGCGGGGCTGGCTCCCAGCGGAGGGGTGGGGCGCGTGACGTCAGGTGCGCGCGTGGCTCCGGCTGCGCAGAACAGCTGGCGGCTCCGAGGGCGGCCGGCGAGCTGACCAGCGTGGGGGTGCTCGTGGCCGCGGGGCCACGCCGCGGGAGACGCCGCCTCCGCCTTGCGCCACTGCACCATGTCCGGGCAGCTGGAGCGCTGCGAGCGCGAGTGGCACGAGCTGGAGGGCGAATTTCAGGAACTGCAGGTAGGGCCGGGCCACCTGGTCCCTGCTACCTGCCGGGCAGCGTCGTCCCCTTCCTGCCCCGGCTCGGGGGGTGGGGGCGGGCAGGGCCCAGGGGGCACCCCGCTCGGGCCCTGAGGGCTGGGGTGCGCGTGGCCAGCTCCCTCCTGTTTCCCAGCGCTTCAGTCCCTCACCCACAAGGGGCGCAGGGTCGAAGCCCCTTCGGCCGCCCCTGCTCAGCCTGTGCCCCGCGCACCTTCGCTGCAGAAAGTTGGCCTGTGGCCTCTGGGAAGGTCCAGGTGTGTCCACGTTGAGGAGGCCTGAGGGACAGGTAGTTTCTGGGGTGTCCCAGAGAACCACCCTTCCCTCCACTGGGGTCTCCCCCAGTCCCCACAGACCTGACTTGAGAACTCCCACCCGGCTCTGGCGAGGCAGCCTTCTGCAGCTCCATTTTGAGAGGTGTGCTTGGAAGCCGTTCACCTTGAACCCTAAGCTGTGCTTGGAAACTGGGGACCTCTCGTCCCATCTTTGGGGGCTCTGGTGTCCGCGCCTGCCTCTCGGGCTCCGCAGCAGGCCGAGGTTGGCGCTGTGGACCGCATATGTGCGCTCTGACAGCTGGCCTGCCTCACCCAGAGATAGGGGTTGCTCCCAGCCTCACCACCCTCCTGGCCCAGAGCCTTGCAGGGGCGGGGTGGGGCCCTTCGATAGTCTGGCATTGCTGCCAGGGGCTCTGGCAGGAGTGGCCGATTCTGATAGGGGGTCAGAGGCATCGGCCACAAACTCTGGTAATTAAAGGCGACTCTGGAAACCTTGGGATTGGTGGAGAGAGAGACGCGGGACTGTTTTTGGCGATGGAGTTATGCTTTCTGCAGCCCCCGGCTGTGTGTTTGTTTTCTCAGGAGATGGCTGTGTGTGTGTGAAATGACACTCCGCTGGGATCCTCATTTGGGGCAATGACATTTCTTCCCTGTTCGCAGAGCTCTTGTTTGCCATTGGGTTGGCCTCCTTCAGTGTCCAGAGAGAGGGAGAGGAAGTCACTAAGTGATAGATCTTTCTAGACATAAAGCAATCAGTGGTCCAGACGGATAGGGAGAAGCCTGCAGGGAGGACCGAGTGGGAGGCGGGGTGCTGTTTCAGGCATGAGAAGAGGGTAAGATCCCCAGGACCGTCACCCCTCTTGTGGCCTGTCCAGAAGTGTGGGTTGGTGCCTTCTCATTCAGGTCTGGAGCTTGGGTACCTTCCATCCCATTCCCAGGGTCCCTTCTTTCTTCAGGCCCATCAAGAATTCTCAGCCGCCCCTTCACACTTTGCCCTCCTAGGCTCTGAGGTCCTGTCCAGTTGTGGAGGAGGGGGCCTTTGAGTGGGCCATGGGAGCAAAGAAGAGGCTAACTGTGTGTGGGCTTTTGTTCCTAATTCCTGTTCCTCTGCCCTTCCCCAGAATTGGGGGAGGAGCCCTAACACTTCAGAGCTATGCAATTAATGCAATTAACAGCAATTAGACAGCAAGTCTTGGCAGGCGAGGCTGCTGGGGAGTCCTTGTGTTTGTTATTTTCCTTCAGTGGTGTCTCTGGTGTGCAAGTGTGTTAGGGACAGAGCAGAATTGGGAATTGATGCTGGGTTTCACCCCCTCAGTGCACAGCAAGTGTGGTGGAAGGTCTGAAGAAGGGGGCTGTGATGTCTCCCCTCAGTTCTTCACAGATGAGGGAACCGGCAGGGACTGGATCCTACTGTGGGGCAGAGGGACTTGGCTGAGGCTCGGATGGACTAATAACTGGACATACACCTGTGTGGCTGTGAAGTTGGGGTTGGCCCTCAGTCCTCTCAGTGTTTGGTTCAAGCATCTGTAATGGTGTTGGGACGTCCCTCTGTGTCTCTCGGTGCCTCCTTTCCCCTATTAAATGTGAGACTCTGAAGTAGAGATGAAAATCACCCCAGAAATATGCATAGATCGGTAGGGTCCGTGTGTGTGTGTGTGTGTGTGTGTGTGTGTGTTGGACAGAATTTCAGAAATGAGGCATGTGTTGAGGAGCAAGGAGGTAACAGGTGGGCGGGTGGTCACACTAGACATAGGAAGCTGAACGCTGGGAAGGGATTTTTCAGCAGAAGACCCCCGTTTATCCTAATTTTCCTACATCTGTTCCTAATCTGGGGTTTGGGGGTTTCACATCTGTATTGCTCTGATTCCTTCTGTTTAGGGGGCTGTATGGTGTCTCTTTAACCTCTCTTTGTCTTAGAAATGAAGGAAGGAAAGTAAAACCTGAGTCTCAGACCCTGGAGGCTGTCTGGGGGTGGGGGAAGGTGGATTTGAAAGATCTTTGGAATCCACCCAACCTTCCTCCCTCCGCCAAATCTCTGGGACTTTCTAGAGGAAAGGATCAGTTTTCTTTTGATTGAGGTTTGCATCTGCCCGAGGGCCTTCACCTCTGGGGCACAGTTTGTGTCTCTCTGGGAGCTTTGTTTTCGGCTGGTTGGGGTTCATGCTGGTCAATTGAGTGTCAACCTGAGACCAGCAATTGTCTGGCCCTGTGGCCTATGGTGCCACTACAGGGGGGCACTTCCAGACACATGCCAGGTGATTTAATGAGTGTTTCCTCCTTGCATCACTGGAAACCTGACCCATCGCTCCCCATCCAGCAAGGAGATGGCCCTAAGTGGTCTCTCCCTAAACATGACCTCACAGGGATGCTGCTTTTGACAACTGTGTGATCATCGCACTGCCCTTCCCGGAGAAAGGGTCAGGTCCCTTAGAGAGCCTAGGGTCCAGGGTGGTTGGGGAGGCTTTGCTGAGGAGTGACAGTTGAGGAACCACTTGAAGGAGGTGATGGATATCTGGGAGATGAGCATTTGAGGCAGCAGGACAAGCCAGTGGAAAGATCGAGAGACAGGAGCCCACCTGTGTGCCTGGTGGCTGAAAACAAAGGGCAGTGGGATAGGAGAGGAGGTCAGAAGGGGCTAGGTCACGAAGCAAGCAGAACAGAAGTAATGAGAGTGCTGCTACCACGTGAAGAATGTAACCAGCATCACTGAGCGTTGTTTAGAAACCGTGGTGGGAGTGGATTTGCTGTGCATATTGTCGCCACAAATAAAGTGGCATTACATCTGGTCAGTGATACACTTGCTGAAGTATTTAGGAGAAAGTGTACTGTCTACAACTTAATTTAAAAACAGGGGTGGGGCTAGATCCTTTAAGGCCTTGCAGGCCATTGCAAAGATTTTGGTATTTACTGTCAATTAAAGAAATAGGTTTCCCTCTGGCTGCTGTGTGTAGGGTAGACATCAGGGGACAGGTTGAAAGCAGGAACATCAGTACTATTTCCTTAAACCATTAGGACATAGACCCTGTGAGCCCTATTTCGGTAATGGAAGGTTAAGTCAAGGGCACGTGTCTGGAGCCAAGATTTGAACCCAGGATGTCAGGCAACAGAGTCTGTGCTCTTAACACCACCCAAAGAGGCCAGGCCAGGGTAGATGTCATTGGGACATCCAGGAACTCTGGTGGTCTTTTTGAGTTTTGTTTCTTCTCCATCTCAGGCTGCCTTGTGGGCCTGTTTCTTAGAAGCAGCACTGGGCAGAAGTCAGGATTCCTGGGTTCAGGTCCTATGACTGCCACAGAGCTTGAGCTTTCTTTTTTTTAACGCATTTTATTGAAATATAATTTATATATGGTGAAATACACAAAACTAACAACAACAACAACAACAAAGTGACATGGGTCAATGCATTTTTTTTTTTTTTTCAGTGTTCCCTCCCCTCCCTTCTCACCCCTGGCAACCAACAAAGAAAGTTTCCCTCCATATATAAACCTTGCCTTGACCCTCCACAACCACAAATTAATACTATATTTGTCCTGTCATTGACTTATTTCACTCAGCATAATATCCTCCAAGTTCATCCATATTATGTGGTGTTTTGCAGACTCTACATTATTCTTTAGTGCTGCATAGTGTACCGTTATGTGTATGGACCATAGTTTGGTCATTCACTCTTCTGCTGTTGGGCACGTAGGTTGTTTACATCTTTTGGCTGTTGTAAATAGTGCTGCGATGAACATAGGTGTGCATATATCTGTTCCTGTCCTGGCTCTCACCTCCACGATATATACCTAGTAATGGGATTGCTGGGTCCAATGGTATTTCCAATTGCAGCCTTCTAAGGAATCACCATAGTGCTTTTACGGTGGTTGTGTCACTTCACAGTCCCACCAGCAGTGTATGAGAGTCCCAATCTCTCCACATCCCTGTCAGCATTTGTTATTTTCTGTCTCGTTGAACCTTGGCATCAGTGCTGGGGTGAGATGGTATCTTGTTGTTTGATGGTTGTTGTTATGTGCCGTCGAGTCAGACCCGACTCATAGCGACCCCTCCTTGGATTTCCAAGGCAGTATCACTACGGAAGTAGATTGACCAACCTTCCTTCCGAGGAATGGCTAGGGGGTTTGAACCACTAGCCTTCTGGTTAGCAGTCCAGTGCCTTAGGCACTATGCTACCAGAGCTCCCGTTGTTTTGATTTGCATCTCTCTAATGGCCAATGATTGTGAGCATAAACTTGAGCTTTTTAATATACAAAACAAGGATTGACAATGATAATAGTATTAGCAACAATGATAATAATAGCTAACTGTGACACATGGATCAACCCATTTAATTGAAACAGTAACCCTGTTTATAGATGAGGAGATTGGGGCTAAAAGATGTTCAGCAATTTGAAAGTAGTGGGTCCGGAATTTGAACCCACGCCGTGTCACCCAGTTTTTGGATTCCTGACATAGTTGCTCTTGTGAAGTGGCCTTTGAACTTGCTGATTTCTGCACGTTCATATGATGCTTTCCCGTAATACATTGGTCAGGACTCTTAGTGCCCACTTTAGCTTTAAGGCAGAGGGAGGGTTTACTGGCTAAAGTGATTGGGAAGGTCCAGGAGCAAGTGGCTTCAGGCAGTACTACATCCAGTGGCTAATGATCCTCATCGCTTAGCCCTTTCACAGCTGAGGAAACCGAGGCACAGAGAGATTGCATACCTTGACG